ACTACTACTACTACTACCAACTACTACCTACTACGACTACTACTTCTAATAGTACTACTACTACTACTACTACTACTACTACTACTACTACTACTACTACTACTACTACTACTACTACTACTACTACTACCTATTACTACTACTACTACTACTACTACTACTACTACTACTACTACTACTACTACTACTACTACTACTACTACTACTACTACTACTACTACTACTACTAACTACTACTACTACTACTACTACTACTACTACTACTACTACTACTACTACTACTACTACTACTACTACTACTACTACTACTACTACTACTACTACTACCCGTTCCACCTTTAGTGTTCTCCCTCCTCCCTTCATTCCTGCTTTTTCATCCATCCCCCCCTCTCCTTATTAGTTTTTCTGCCTCCTCCTCGTCCTCGTCCTCGTCCTCGTCCTCCTCCTCCTCCTCCTCCTCCTCCTCCTCCTCCTCTCTTCCCCATCCCTGCCTCTCTCCCTCCCTCCTCCCGAAAAAAACTTGGGGAGCGGCGACGCGCGCCCCGATGAGGAGCCATATGTCCTCGCCCGTGAAATCGTTCCTGGAACCAGGGGTGGCGGACGGGAGGGCAGTGGGCACGGAGAGGGAGGAGGGGGGAAGGCGGATGGAGGGCGGAGGGAGGGCGGAGGGAGGGCGGAGGGACGAAACGGGGGGCGGGAGGGGGAGGGAGGAGGGAGAGGGGGAGGGAGGGAGTGAAGGAAGGGGGCGGGGGTCGGGGAGGGAGGGAAGGAGGGTGGAGGGAGGGAGGGGGGAGCGAGAGGGGGGGAGGGAGGGGAAGGAGGGGAGGGAGGGAGGGAGGGGGCGGGGGATGGGGAGGCAGGGAGGGAGGGCGGAGGGAGGGGAGGAGGCACGGGGAGGGAGGGGGCGAGGGGTGGAGGGAGGGAATGTGGAGGGACGAAGTGGGGGGGAGGAGGGAACTCCCAACGGGAGTGGCGGAGTGGTCAGGCAAAGGTTGCTCCAGGCGGCCACCGCTGCTGATGGACGTTCCACGTGGACGGACGGTTTTCTCTTGACATCCACACCTATTCGCGAAAGCGCGCCTCTTTCCCAAACTGCTGTCGCTCACGCACGGAACTGCTTCGTGACGGGGGTCGAGAGGGAGGGCCTTGGACCCCAGGACCCTCCCCCAGGACGAAATCTTCCTCACGAGTCGTTTTCTGACAGCCCCGGGGCCCGTGGAGGGCGCCGAGGGCCCGAAAACGGAGAAAAACCTGAGGACCCACTTCCTTCAGGACCCGTTTTCCCCCGTGGCGATCCAATGGGCAGGAGAAGGCTTCGGACGCCCGGAATGGGTACGAGGAACATGGGTATGATGCCCAAGAACAATTGTTGTCCCAGACAAACAGCGGCCGCTGTTGGGCAAGCGGCCTCCTGTCTCGAATGGACAACGTCCGTGGCGGCGCGGACAGCGAGTCCTGTTCAGAACGAACGGGAAGTGCTGCTGGACTTTGTGCCCAGTCTTTCCGCACCCACTTCGCTCGTGCCGAAAGGCATCGTGGAGAGGAGGAGGAGGAGGAGGAGGAGGAGGAGGAGGAGGAGGAGGAGGAGGAGGAGGAGGAGGAGGAGGAGGAGGAGGAGGAGGAGGAGGAGGAGGAGGAGGAGGAGGAGGAGGAGGAGGAGGAGGAGGGGGAGAGCCCCTTGGTCCGCCTACCGGCTCGAGCCTCGATGCGCCGGCGGTGCCTCGCGCGGGCGCGCGTTGCCCAGGTCCCAGAAGCCCCCGGCAGGCGCGGAGGCACCTCCCCGAGCCCGCGGTGTGGCAGCAGCAGGAGCAAGCAGGTGTTATGACCTTGAGCCAAATGAGGACGGATGAACGTCCTCTCGCTCTCTGTTCCACTCTTCCTCTCTAGGGGATCTCGATGCTAAACCTATCTCGCAACATCAAGACTGCAGCCACTCTGGTCAGGCTTTCTTATAGGTTTAGCAGTCCCCAAGAGATCAAACAGTGCCTGCACAAACAAGGCAGACGTCCGGCCCCCCGGACGGTCGGGGACAAGGGGAGAGGGAGGAGAGAGAAGGACTTGAGTGGTCCATCCTGCTGATCGAGCACCTCGGAACGAACACAACTGACTGGAAGCATGAACTCCTGCAAGGCCACCAGTCGGTCGTCGTTGTCTAAAATCCTCTTGGAGGCAGAGTGAGACCGGTCCATCTGGCCAGGTCTCTCTGTCTCTGCGAAGTGCCATGTCGTTATCTTCGTCGACCAGCGCAACCTTCCCACTGGCAAGTCAATTAGATAGGGCTGCATTTCCTTTTGCAATGTCGTCCTGAGCCATACTGTCGACTGGCACTCTCCCATGGGGAATCCAGCGCGCAGATCCACGAACATGTTCTAAAGCTTCACAGATTACTGCTAAGTCGAGGGCGGTACGTCTGTATCGAGCACTTGCGTTTCCCTCTTTCGGCATGGTGTCGTATGTACTCTCAGCATCTACTACATGTACTTGTTCTTCTCGGCCTCCTAGTGAGCAGTCCCTTCGCAAAACTGTCGTAAACGGCCCGGACCCCCGGCTTTGATCAGAGACATCTACGTCCTGAAATACAACATCACGATACAGTACTTGTAGAAATTCCACCTCTGCCACTGCGGCAGTCAGGGCCTGTGTCTCTCCGGCCAAAGTCGATGTGACTTTGCGCCGGAGCTTAGAACTACGCCAAGCAAGTATAGAAGCCTTGACAGCACGATTATCTATCACGATGCGATCCGTGGCCAGGATCATCCAGGCGCCCTACGCGGGGTCCTCGGGGAGCCCCTTAGCATCAAGCTGACCCTCGCTGGCTCCAACCCCTCCGGCATCCGAAAACGACACAAACGCCATGGCCTCAGGATCCAGTTTCCAGATGGTCAGGCCAATTGAGGCCGTGGCCCAAAGATGTCGCACCACAAGCCACGTCTCCGGCGAAGGGATCCTTAAGACGACTGGCGAGAATACTCGCCGTGCCAGCGGCTTCTGGACGGGTCTCCCGCCCGACCCAGTTCAGCCTATAAACCAAAGAACGAAACGCTTTAAATTCCTCTCTCGAGAGAGGAGCAGACTTCACCCCGAGCCGCCCCCGGGCCGTGGAGTCGGGGCGGACTTCCTCGAGAATGTATTTTTCTTGGTCGAGCGTGACCTTCTGAGGAGAGAAGACGACCCGTCTGCCAGCATGTTCAACAGGGCCGGCATGGCAGTCCCCATACTTCCCAAAGCGATACCTCGCCTGCAACACCTCGCGAATCCACGGGCGATTCTCTTGAGCACGACTGGCGATGAAGAAATCGTCCACCTCTAGGAGAACCATGTTCTCGATCGCGCCCTTCTTGGGGCATCGAATCCACCAATAGGGTTCGAGCAGGCTCCTGGTGAAGCCTTGCTCCTTAAGGTGCCCTGTTATGGTTTTCCTCCAAGCCAAGTGGGCGTCGCCGAAACTATGCGCACTTACCTTGAGACGGATTAGTGACCCGCGTTCAACCTTAATACCGTCGCGCGGTTCCACATCGATCTCGCCTCCGGATCGACTGATGGGGCCTGACTGACAGAAGGCGTTTTTGACATCTGCGATGCCCCCCCAAAGACCGAGGTTCATCATGGCATGTATGAACCGATAGAGGAAGGTGGTCTGGGGAGTCGGAACGCACGCAAAAAAACGACCCGGTGTCGGGGTTTGTGCGACCGTGCACACACCGCCTGCTCTTGGCAGTGGGCTCCGCAAGCGCGCCTTCCACCGGCTTCCACCGTCGCGCCATGCGGCTCGTGATAAGCCGATCCGCGTGCGCACGACGTAAAGCTTCCGCCTGCTTCGGAGGGAGGACTTCGACCGCTCCTGACTCTCGCGCTGTCTTCCAGTCGGAATCGTCGGAAACTTCAAACTTGGCTCTCTCAGCCGGAGAGACCTTGCTTAAACCGATCTCTCCAGCTCGGCTGGCGGCCCACGCTTCGGCGCTGCTCTCTTCCGTGAGAACAACGCCCTCCTGCTCCGTGGGAGTGGCGAAAAAGGTGGCACAGGGCAGTGAAGGACCGATGCCCGTGGGCGGAGGTCTGACGGGCGATCTTCGAAATGAGTCCTCAATCTCGCGAACCCTGTCACTGCCAGTCGGAGTGCCACCGTCGGTTCCCTGAACAACGGGCGAAAGAGAAGGAGGAGGAGCGAAAGATGGAGGAGGCAGAAGAGAAGAGGAGGGAGAGGAAGGAGGAAGAGAAACCCTGGAGGAGGAGGAAGGGCCCGCGCTGCCTGGCCCGGCCTGAGCTTCCTCTCGGACGGGGGGAGGAGGAAGACCAGGAGGAGGCTCGAACCTGGCTCGCTTCTCTAAGCTCTGCCTCGCACAGATGGGTGTGTCGTCTGGTTGTCGCAACTTTCCTCTCGCTCCGGTGCCGCCCCTCGACGCCGCGGCTCGACTCGCCCCGATCTGCGCTGGCATCGGCATGCCTGGCTGTGCCGAGATTGCTTCGCTAGATCCTGACTCGAGTCGAGACATGCCCGAAGTGCCCTCCTCGCTACTCTCGGCAATCGAGGGGGGCCTAGTTAAATCCGAGCCTGCTCGGGCGACAGCTGAATCGCCTTTTGACGGAGAAGAGCCTCTGCCGCCGGCTCGCCCCCCGTCGCGCCCTTGGAGAGGTGGCCCGCCTGGCGCGGGTGGACCCAGCGGGGCGCCGCCTGATCTCTCGAGATCGGCAGCATCGGGAAAATCATCGCCCCCTGAGTTCCGACCCGGAAGAAAGGGGGCCGAGTCGGCCTCTGGGGAGAGAGGTTGGCCCCGCGCCTCGTCGGGTGGAGGGCCTTCTCTCTGCGCATCGACAGCGGCCGCCCTTCTGGAGCGAGCTTGTGATGGCAGCTCGGCCCGCTGAGGGTCTTGGGCGAGCTGCTGTCCGAATTCTTCTTCAGGACTGGCCGGCCTGACCTGCTTGGGGGAGCATTTCCGCGGACGCGCTCGGACCGCAACCCAAACGGCCCCCCTCTCACTAGGGACCACGACCCAGGGGCCGGTCCACGCATCTCCTCCTCCCGAGTGTGTCGGACCTTGGCCCCGACAGAGTCAGCCGACGCCAAACAAACGCCCGCTGACCTGGAGAGAGAGTGGCGATGGCTGTCTGTGGTGGGCGCGCTCGAGCTGCCTTGGATATCTTATCGCGAGCCGTCGACTCCATGGCGAGCTTGCGCGCGCATTCCCGAATCTTGCGAGCTCGGAAAAACTCGGCCCCGGCAGAGTCCTGCTCAGACGCCGGACGGATGGCGTCTTGCCAACCGGGCAACCCGAGACCGTCATCCGACAACAACTCGTCTGGAAGCCTAGGGTTTTCTTCAAGCGCGAGTTGGAGCGGCGGGAAACCTCCTCGGTACCAAAACCTGTTCTTATGGGCACACAATTCATAAACCAGGTCCTCGGGCTCCGACTGGTTTCCTGGAAGAGCAGAACCGGATTCAACTTCGGCCTTGATCCTTTCCCTGATCCAACCTCCATGCCTCTCAACTCGGCCGTCCGGCCGGGGCGAATTGGCATCGCAAACGCGGTGCATGACCCCCCGCTGCTCTTATCCCCTGGCGAAGCTGTCTCCGAATTCGGGA